CCAGACCCCCACCCTTTCCCCCCCAATTTATGGCGTACCTCTCGAAACCCGGACGAAGCGGTCTACATCCCCATCCAGGGGAGTAAGTCGGCCAGCGGGCCGAGGCCACGCCCATGGGGATGGGCGTCGGTGAAACGATGTTCCTGGGCAGCGTGTGGGCCCTCGGAGGGGGGCCTCGTGCTCCTGGTGGCCGAGCGTCGCCGAACATATTCTGGGGGAGGGGGCCCCAGCTTCGTGGCCACTTCTCTCGCGGCCGCGCCCCACTGAACGGGCTGCGCGTCGGCGCTCGCGTCGTCGGACCTGGGGCTTGATGTCGGGCATGTCCCTCTACAGGAGGAAAATTCAAAAGTACAAAAATAGTCAGGGGAATAATCGTTTGAGTACTTTCGACTGTTTTTTATTGTACTCCCAAATCCGCCTGTAGTGGGACATGCCCGACCTAAGGCTTGATTCGGAGCCTCGAGACGGGTGTCAATGCAAACGGGGGTCAGCCGGAGCGCCAGATCTGGCAGGATCCGGCAGGGCCAGGGTGCACTGTCCCGGGTGGGCGCGCAGGATCCTGCAGGATCCTGCAGGATCCTGCAGGATCTTGCAGAATGTTCCAGGATCCTGCGCAGCCTGGCTGACCCGGGTTTGCACTGATCTGGGTCGGTGTGTCCCCGAGAGATGTGCTTTAATCCCCAGCGAGCGCCGCTTCCAACGAACGTCAGGCTCGAACGACCGTCGGTCGGACCGCTCGGCAGAGCGCCAGACGAACGACCTGGTGGGCGGGGTCAAGCTGACTCGCCTCCAAGCGACGCAAGGAGATGGGCTGCGTCTCTCAAATAACCTTCTCTTCGACCCACACTGCTTCTCATCGACCCGCACGCAACCTTCGCTTCGACAGGAGGCTCCCGCGATTGAAAGCAATGCAGAAGCTCCAGCGACGCCCAGGCGAAACTACCCGGCCCCAGGAACCTCAAGGGGCCTTGAAAAGGGCCAAAGTGATCCCAAGAGGGCTCCAACATGGCTCCAAGCGGTTTCCAGTATGGTCTTAGAGCGACAAATCCGCGAACGTCCTCATGGTTGACTCCTGTCTTCGTCGTTGCCCCCTTCTTCTTCCTCCTCCTCTTCCTCCTCCTCCATTATCCTCCTGCTTCTGCTCCTCTACCTCGCACCTCCCTTTTCATCCTCCTCCCTCCTCACTTTTCCTCTTCCTATTTTCCCCTGCGCGTCCTCCTCCTCCGACGGCAGACTTAGCAGTTCCACTCCTGGGTCTGCTCAGGTTGATTTTGAGCTTGGGCTTGATCCGCCTGTCTGTTCCACTGAATCCTTTTTCTCTTTCCTGATCAGGGCATCTCGCCTGGCGATCGTTTGTGGGTGGGCTTGTGGGGGTACGCGAATCGTTAACACTTTAGTTTGTCTTTCCGAGAGCCTCCAACCCCGCCTTCGGTCCTTCGGGTGGCCCTTGCAGCTCTGCGATGGGCAATCTTGGTCCCGTCAGTTTCTGTGTACTCTGTCATCGAGTGGTAGGCGCAGGGTGCCCGACACGAATCTCTATCGACTCCCCTTCCAAGGAAGAGGACGAGGAGGAGGAGCTTCAGCTTGATGATGTCGATATGATGATGATGATGGGCATGTTTCTGATGATGGTGATGATGATGATGATGATGATGATCATGCTGCTGCTGATGATGATGAGGAGGAGGAAGGAGGAGGGTGATGCTGAGGGTGAGGCTGCCGCTGCTGCTGATGATGGTACTGATGATGGTTGTGTATATGATGTTGATGGCGATGATGATGACGATGGCGATGCCGCCGCCGACGACGACGATGCTGATGATGATAATGTTGGTGTTGATGGTGCACAGAAGAAGGATTTTGCTGCTGATGCGGATGATCATGGTAGTTGTGGTGATGATCGCGGACAGAAGAAGATGATGTTGTTGCTGATGCTGATGATGATTGCGACGGTAATGGTGACGGTGATGGTGATGATCATCATGATGCAGCTGATGTTGGCGATGCTGATGATGATCATGCTGTTGATGATGATGACGATGCTGCTAATGACGACGATGCTGATTCTGATGATGATGGTGATGCTGACGACGATGATGCTGATTATGGTGATGATGCCGATGCTGATGCTGATGATGATGCTGATGCTATTGATGATGATGATGATGACGATGATGATGCTGATGATGATGATGATGATGATGATGATGATGATGATGATGATGATGCTGGTGCCGCTGCTGATGCTGTTGGTGATCATGCTGCTGTTGCTGTTGCTGCTGATTGTGATGATGCTGCTGCTGATGATGATGCTGATACTGATGGTGATGATGATGCTGATGATGATGGTGGTGCTGGTGATGCCGGTGCTGATACGAGTGGTTGTGGTGGTGGTGCTGCTGGTGATGGTGATGATGCTGATGATTACGATGCTGATGATGCTGATGATGCTGATGATGATGATGATGATGATGACGACGACGATGCTTATTCTGCTGCTGCTCCTTCTGATGATGCTGCTGCTGCTGAAGATGATGATGATGACGATGATGATGCTGATGCTTCTGATGCTATTGCTGATGATGCTGATGATGGTGATGCTGATGTTGATGATGATGACGACGACGATGCTGATGATCTTGTAGATGACGACGACGATCTTGATGATGCTGATGATGATGCTGATGATGCTCATGATGTCGACGATGATGATCATGATGCTGCAGATGATGCTGACGCTGACGCTGATGATGATATTGATGATGATGATGATGATGATGATGATGATGATGATGATGATGATGATGATGTTGATGATAATAATTCTATTGGTAATGATGCTGATGCTGCTGCTGATGATGATGAGGAGGAGGATGAGGATGAGGATGACGATGACGATGACGACTGCGAAAACGACCGCCCAGCCCGTGACCCATGTGCCCAGGCTCTTCCACGCCGAGAAGATAGACAAAAACGGCGTGGAGGTCCCAAGTGCCGCCGCATTCCTTTCATATGATGGCGAGGTGGTGGTGGCGGAGGAGGAGGGAGATGGTATTCTATAGGCTTACGCCAAATCCGCCGACTACTTGTTTTTGTATAGCCTTTATCGCCGGCTGTGGTCGACGCCTTCACGGCGGCGGTATGGACTAATCGTGGTTTCGGGGTTGTGTTTGAGAGGCACGAAATGTGATGATTCCCGTAGCCCCTGCAGATGCGTATAGTAGTGGGGGGCTGCTTCGAGAAAGAGTTCCCGCGGCAGGGGCACATCAGTGGCGCGCAGGAGACGGAGCACCTCACGAGGGGAATGAAACTAGTGGGCGTTGATTGCAATGACCCTGGTTTCACGGCGCGTAGTTGGCAGGAATATCAGTGCAGCGGCACGCGCAAGAGACAACTACCGACTTCCGCCTTCTTCGTGGGGCCTGACAGTGTCGCGCGCGACGAGAGAAGGGCACCCTGAAGGAGGAGGAGGAGGATTAGACCTGGACTAGAACCGGCCGAAGAGTAAGCATCACCCCGTGGATCAACTACAGCGGGTTCCCTCGCCACTTCGGGCTGCCCCCGAGCCGAAACCAGAGAGCCTACGCACTGCACAGGAGGTAACAATTCAGACCCCCCTCCCGATCACTCTGCTGGCTCCAGGGTGGCATAGGGAAAATCTGCCCGTCCATTTGTCACAGGCGTACCTGGCACACCTGCGACAGAACAAACGTTCGGCGGAACACCAAGATTTGCCCCGCCGCTCTCGCTCTGTCGACCCGGACGGCCCCTCAGTCCAGATCGACCCGAGAGGGGTGGGATCCATCGGGTTTATAGGGGGGGGGCCTTCTTCCTCCTCCTCCTCCTCCGTCTCCTCTTCCTCTTCCTCCTCCTCCTCCGTCTCCTCCTCCTCCTCCTCTTCCTCCATCGGCCCGAAAAGGGAGGTGGCCCGCTCTTCCTTTCCTTCTGGCGTCCCAGGAGTCCCAGGGAGGTCCAGGGTCACCAGGGCGGTTTCGGGTGGGTTCGAAGTCCTCGGCAGGACCCGAACCCGGTTCAGTGTCGACGATCTCACGGCCTCTTCCACGTGGGCGGCGAGTTCGAGGATACCACGGACGAGTTTTTATTTCTCCATGCAGGGCTCTCGGTGCCACGCGGGCTGTGTATGAGACATGGCCCCCGCATGGCGAATTTAACAGCACTACGATTTTCCTCCCGACGCGTACGACCGATTTTTTCTCTCTCGGCCCGCGTCGCATGGGCCTTCACTGTACTGAACGTCGCTGCGCGAGGGCCTACACTGCCGATCTCGGCGATGGCGGCCCAGATCTGGTCCCACAGGTCCTGGTGCTTGCGGTGCTTTCTCTCCGTGATGGTCGGCCCCTCTGTCGATCCCGCCCAGCACGTTTTGGTAGTCGGTGAAGATGCGGGTCGGCGGTATTGCGTGTCTGATGATGACGACAACGATGATGCTGATGTTGATGATGCTGATGCTGATGATGCTGATGTCGATGATACTGATGATGCTGCTGACGATGGTGATGAGGATGCTGCTCATGATTATAATGATGATGCTGATGATGATGCTGTCGTCAATGATGCTGCTGGTGATGATGGTGCATGAGGACGATGCTGCTGATGATGAAGGCGATGAGGTTTATGATGATAATGACGATGATGGTGATGATGGTGGTGATGCTTGTAATGATGACGCTGCTGATGATTATGCTGATGCGGATGCTGTCACTGATGATAGTACGGAACATGCTGCTGCTGATGATGATGACGCTGATGCTGATGCTGCAGCTGATGATGATGAGGATCAGGATGCTGATTCTGAGGATGATGGTATTGATGGTGATAATGCTGACTATGATGAAGCTGATGCTGATGATGATGTTGATGCTGACGATATTGATGCTGACGCTGATGCTGATACTGATAATGATGAGGCTGCTGCTGCTGCTGATGATGATGATGATGATGATGATGATGATGATGATGCTCTCGCTGATAATACTGAT